GATATCAATGTTCTTTTTAAGAAGATCAGCCCAGCGGGGCAGCTCGGAGGCGTCAGGGAACTGTGCACACCAGGCGCCGTCGAGATGGTAGAAGCAGCGCTGCTGTGTGTAGGGCCGCCCACACGTCTGACCAGCGCGGTCACCTGTGCGGATGACATACGGGCAGGTACCTCCACCCCCAGACCCCCCATACTGAGAATACCACTCACGAAGCTGATGCGGCGTCGGGGTCTCTCCGAGACGCTGGTGCTAGCGCTTGACACCACCCGAACCTCCACGCTGCGCTTGTCTACCCCGACCACCACCCCAGCCTCCACCGCCACGCCCGCTGCCGCCACCACCGCCGCCGCCACCCCGGCCCCCTCCACCACCACTGTCGCCACCACTCCTGCCGCTGCCACTGACCCCCCCCAACCTCGCCACCAACCCCACCACCGCCACCACCGCCTCCACCTCCACCTCCACCTCCCCCGATGTCACCGCCACCACCCTTGCCCCCCTTGCCCCTGGCGCCCTTGCGCCTCCCACTAGGAGCAGACGCAGCCCCGACTTCCTCAGCACCAAGGTAGTCAACAGCTGCAGTAGAGGTGACCAAGGGGAGAAGGGGGGGAGGGGAACACCCGTCAAAGAAGGGTGTGCGGGGGTAGCCACGAGAGGCATATACAGCGACTATGCTAGCCTCAGCTGCAAGCAGGTGCTTCTCGAGCAGGTCAACGGTGAGCTCGGTGGGGCAGAGGGCGAGAAAGTGGTCCGTGACTGCGCGAAGGGAGTCAAGGAAACGGGTGACTAGGTGGTAGAGAATGAGGTACATTGGGGGAGGATTCTTGGCTAGGAACTCAGCAGGAAGGGCGGCTCGGTAGCGAGTGTCATTAGTGCGGAGGTGAGTAATGAGGTCAGCGACTGTGGGAAAGGTGGCCAAATCTGGGAAAATATAGGGCAGCGAGAGTCGGTCGATCATAGCAGAGGCAGGCGAGGAGTAGCGTGCTACTACAGCATCGTACAGTGCCTTAGCAGTCTTGTGCTGGCCAAAATGCGCGCGCTCATCTAGCGGTAGGTGGCTGTGAATGGCTAAGCGAGCGTGAGCGTCAAGAGTCTGCCACTGGGAGCGAGCAGTACTGCCAGTTGTCTCAACACGTGCGGGAGCGGTTCCGGACGCGTGATTTTACAGTGAGATATCGTCCTTAGCAGTGATGTGTAGGAACAGGTGTAGGTCGTCGAGCCAAGCGTCAAACTGAACGCGGCCCTCAGCATCGAAAGAGAGAATGGTGGGAGTAGCCATGATGGCAGCAATAGCGGTAGCAGTAGTAGCAGTAGCAGCAGTAGCAGTAACATCAGTAGCAGTAGCAGCTGTAGCAGTAAGAATAGCTGGAACAGCAGGCGCAGAAGCAGCAGTTGCTGCATGTGGGGCGGCGCGGCTCGGTAAGGGCGGCGCGACTCGGGCAGGACGGCGCGGCGCGGCTCGGGCAGGCAGGGCGGCACGACGGCGGGCGTGTGGACGGTGCGCGGCGGCGCCTAGGGAGCGGCTGCGTTCGTGCGGCGGCTAAGCGTGAGCTGCAGCAGCCGACGCGTGATCGCTGCTGCGCGCGGGATGCGACCTGCCGGCGGGCGGTGGCGGGTCAAACGTCGGCCTAGGGGCGAGCGGGGCCTACGGGCAACGGCCTACTGGCACGCGCGAGAAAAAATGGGCCGCGCTCTGGCGGCTAGTGAGCTACTCGCGCTAAAAATGGGGGCGCGCGCTCGGGCGGCTAGCGGGCTGCAAACGGGCAGTGTGAGAGGGAGGGCGCGCGAGGGCGCACTAACAGAGAGGCGCCCGAGGGCGCTAAGACGATGGGGCGCACGAGGGCGCTTCTAGCGGAACGGTGGGCCCTTAGGTACGCGGTCTTAGGTTCCTAACCTCGGCTCGTAATATCATGTCAGAATCAACAAGTGTGTTAGCACCAGGAAAGTGGTGAGTACAAGTAGGAAACCCTTAACTTACTGTACCCCATAGTAACTACCCCACTACATCCTAAACAAACTTTAGAGTATGAGTTTGACAAGTTGATTATTCAAAAGCTAAGCTATTGACACACCCCCCCCCCCCCCCCATGGTAGGCACGGGATGGCGGTAGCTTATTTTTTGAGTCGTTAACTATCACGCATTTACATCATATACTGGTATGTGTGCATTTAAGTTAAGCATGTTACATTCAACATTATGCATATAGAAGCATATCTTGCATGATGCATTTTTATAACTTGCATCATTACATTTATCGAATCATGCAATTATTTGCACGTATTATATGCATTTCATAATAGTCACGTAAGTGTCACTATATTATAAAACATAAAAAAAAAAAATACTGCGAACAACCCTGCGATATTGTGCGAAACTACAAAAAAAAATTGAATGGTTCAGTACTGCTAGAAAGGCATATAATACAGTAAGGTATTACTGTAGCGTCTTAAGTTTATTTTTATCATTTACTGAAAAAAATATGAAAAAATAAATTTGGCAAAATAGATCGTAAAGGGTTGTTTCGCAACCCAAAAAGTTAGGTTACACCCAAAAATCTGGAACCTGAAATGTATATTTCACGAAAACGTACGCCACTTGACCCGCCAGCATATTCTCCCCGCTGTCAGAACATTATAGCTTACTTATTTGTGTAGGCTATAGTGGGGTATCCCATAGGGGGTACAACCCAATTAGGGTTTCCTATTTGTACTCACTTCGTTCATAGTCATTTCATTCTCGTTCTCATTCTCACATGGTATCAGAGCAGGTCCCCTCCTAGGGACTGTTCCTTGGGCCCACCGAAGCGCGCCTCGAGGCGCGCGCTCACTTTTTTTAGCGTCCCGTCGGGTCGCACCTAGCGGCTCGTCGCGCCGCCCTTACGGTCGCGTCGAGCCGCCTTAGCGGCTGCGGTGCGCCGCCCTTCTCCCGGCCCGTCGCCGCCCTTACCTGCGGCTTCGCGCCGCCCTTTACCGGCGGCTTCGCGCCGCCCTTACCTGCGGCTTCGCGCCGCCCAGGGCCCGTCGCCGCCCTTCCCGCGGCTTCGTGCCGCCCTTACCTACGGCCTCGCGCCACCCCGGCCCGTCGCCGCCCTTTCCTACGGCTTCACGCCGCCCTTACCTGCGGCCTCACGCCACCCCGGCCCGTCGCCGCCCTTACCTGCGGCCCCACGCCGCCCTTACCTGCGGCTTCGCGCAGCCCCGGCCCGTCGCCGCCCTTACCTGCGGCTCCACGCCGCCCTTACCTGCGGCTTCGCGCCGCCCCAGGCCCGTCGCCGCCCTTATCTGCGGCTTCGCGCCGCCACTCCCTGCGGCCCACCCGTCGCCTTACCTGCGACCCACCCGCCGCCCTTACTTGCGGCCCACCGCCGCCCTACCTGCGGCTCACGCCGCCGCCCCTACCGCTCGCCGCCGACCCGGCCGCACGCTACAGCCCCGCCCGCACGCCGCCGTCCCGACTGCAGCCGCCGCCTCGGCCCCACGCCGCCCTTACGCCGCTGTGACACCCAGCCGCCCGAGCCGCTTGTGCCGCTGAGGAGCCGAGCCGCCCAAATAACCCGAGCCGCTGAGTACCCGAGCCGCCCGAGCCGCTGAGTACCCGAGCCGCTGAGTACCCGAGCCGCTGAGTACCCGAGCCGCCCGAGCCGCCCGAGCCGCCTGGGTCATCTGAGGAGCCGAGCCGCTGGTCCACCGGAACTGCTGTTGCTGCTGGGCCGGCCGAGCAGCAGTGTTGCCGTGTTGCTGTGCCCCTGAGCTGCCCGACCCGCCCTGTCTGGTGAGATCGTCGCCTGCTGTCATGGCTACCCCTAGTGTCCTAGCCTTTGACGCTGAGGGTCGCGCCATTGACTTTGAGGTCTGGGTAGACGACCTGCAACCTCCCATTATAACCTCCCATCATAACCTCCCGTTATAACCTCTCATCCTAACCTCCCATCATAACCCCGCATCATAACCTCTCGTAAACTCCCTTCGTAACCTCTCCTTCCCCCCATGCCTTCTCCATATCCCAGGTGGGAGGTGGCCGACTATCACCGACGCTTCCACGTGAGCAGCCAGCCTGTGAGCCCTGAGCACCAGCGCAAGTTGGAGTCAAACCCTCTCCTTGGCGCCTACACAGCGCTGCGCACCACCGTTGCCTGGATCTTGAAGCATGGGAGAAGGGGAGGGGGGACAGCATGGGAGAGATGCGCACAGTGGGGAGAAAGGGACGTACCGTGGGGCTGGGAGTGATGGAGTCAGTGCTGCTGGGAAGGGTGTTTTTGGAAACGAATTCAAGGAGGTAGTTGAACGGGCGGGTGGCGTGGAGGGGGTGGGTGGAACGTGCAAGGGGGGTGGCGGGGATAGGGCCCCGTCGCACCGCCCTCGCGGCCCCTACGCGCCGCCGTCGCGGCCCCTTCGCGCCGCCCTTGCGGCCTCTTCGAGCCGCCCTCGCGGCCCCTTCGCGCCGCCCTCACGACCCAAGCGCCGCTCTTACCGGCCCCGGCGCCGCCCCTGCTGGCCCCGTCGCCCTACCCTCGCGACCCCGCGGCCCCACCCTCGCGGCCCCGGCGCCGCCACTTCGTCGCCGCCGCCTGCGACTCCGGCGCCGGTCGCCACCCTTCGTGGCCCTGCCGCCTCCCTTCAGCGGCCCTGCCGCCCTTCACGGCCCCGCCGTCACCACCGAGCAGCCGAGCCACCGAGCCGCCGTTGCCGCTGTGCCGCCGAGCCGCCGAGCCGCTGAGCCGCCGAGCCGCCGTTGCCGTCGAGCTGCCGTTGCCGCCGAGGTGCCGAGCCGCCGTTGCCGCCGAGCCGACGAGCCGCCGAGCCACCGTTGCTGCCGTTGTCGCCGAGCCGCCGCTGCCGCCGAGCCGCCCGAGCCGCCCTATCCGCTACGCCTGGTCACTGCCGTCGCGGCCCTGTTCCTGCCGGCGAGCCTCGGTCCATCTCACCTGCCCGGTAAGAGCAGCGACTCTACCACTGCACTGCCCTTAGCCTGCTGCTCGCGCTGCTAGTCTACTGCTGTCATGGCTACCCCTAGTGTCCTCGCTTTTGACGCTGAGGGTCGGGCCATTGACTTTGACGTCTCGGTAGATGACCTGCAGCTTTTCCTACAGTGCGATAGGGCAGACGGTCTCTCCCTCTTTGACCTCACTTCTGGTGCCTCTCCTGCCCCTGCTGCTGATGCTGACGCCACTGTTCGCTCACAGTGGGCCACACGCGATGCTGCTGCTCGTCTTGCTGTGCGCCACCACTTGCCTACCGCTGAGTGTGCACACTTTAGTCAGTACAAGAGTGCTAAGACCTTGTACGACGCTGTAGTTGAACGCTACTCTTCCTCTGCCACTGCTGCACTTAGCTGCCTCATCATGCCGTACCTCTTCCCTGACCTCGCAGCTTTTCCCACAATCGCTGACCTCATTACGCACCTTCACACTAGTGACATTCGCTACCGTGCTGCCCTTCCTGCTGAGTTCTGCGCCAAGAACCCCCCCCCACCATGTACATCACCGTCTACTACATAGTCACCCGGCTCCCTGACACACTTCGCCCGGTCAGGGACCACTTTCTCTCTGTTTGCCCCACCACCCTCACCGTTGACCTCCTCGAGGAGCACCTCCTAGCAGCAGATAGTCGCTGTAGGAGCCTCTCGTGGTGACCCTCGTGCCCCTGTCTTTGAGGGGTGCTCCCCCTCTCCTCTCGTGCCCTATGTTGCCTCTGCTGCTGCGGCCGACCTCGTTGGTCTTGAGTCGGTCGGTGCGGCGTCTGCCCCTAGCGGGAGATGCCGCACTGGCAAGGGCAAGGGGGGCAGGGGCGCTGGAGGAGCCAGCGGGGGCGGTGGAGGCGGCGGTGGAGGCGGTGGGGATGGCGGTGGGGGTGGTGGCAGGGGTGGGGGCGTCAGTGGCCGGAGTGGAGGCGGAGGCGGCGGCGGCGGTGGCGGTGGGAGCGGAGGTGGCGGAGGTGGCGGCGGTGGAAGAGGTAGCGGCGGAGGAGGTGGAGCTGGTCGGGGTAGCGCTGCGCAGACGGTTGGCTCCGGTGGTGGTCAGAGCAAGCAGCAGCGCACTCGTGAGATCCCTCCCCCTAAGCAGCTTCGTGAGTGGTACACTGCACATCAGCAGGGTGGGGGTACTGGTCCGTGCACCTACATCCTACGCACCAGCGATTGCGTGGGTGAGCAGTGCGGGGGTGCGCACTCCACCCAGCGCTGCTTTGGCCTCGTGACGGACGCTTGGCGTCACCAGTTCCCTGAGGCCACTGAGATCCCTCGCTGGGGCGAGCTGTCTAGGGCGGGGGTTTCGATCGTTGATCTTGATTATGATGCTATTCTTGCTGCCATGTATGCTGTGACTATTAGTGATGAGGGTGACTGTTACCGGTGTTTTCCGCCCGACCCGGGCATTGGGACTACTGCTCTAGGAACTGGTGAGGCTCCTGCTGTAGGTGCTGGTGAGGCTGCTGCTCTAGGTGCAAGTGAGTCTGCTTCCTCAGGTGCTGGTGAGTCTGCTCTCTCAGGTACCGCGTCGGCTTCGGCCTCCCACACCTTCACCCTTGACTCGAGGGCGTCCCGCTCCTTCTTTCGAGACCGCACCACATGTCGGAAAATATAATTTAATATTTTCTATATGTAACTGCCTGTAGGATTGGTTACTGTAGTTATAGCGTTTTCCTATTTGGTGTTGCACCTTTCTTGCTTGTTCTTTCATATTTGAACCCTTGAATCTATAGTGAATCTCTCCTTTCTCTCGATACTTTCCCTTTCAACTCGAACTCACTAGCCTTGCTAGAAACCTTTGACACCACACTCACGCCGCTTAGTCGGCCAGTTGCAGTCTCTTTGGCAGACCCCTCTGGGGGTCCTGTCCTTGCCCACTTCTCCACTGTCCTACCGTGTCCGGCGGCCCCCTCTGGCACCCTGTCTGGTCTTTACCTCCCCTCGTTCTCTACGAACTTGGTGAGTGGTGCTGACCTACAAGATGCAGGGGTTCACCAGTTCACTCCTGCGAGCCAGCGAGTGACCCACTGCACGTGTGCTCGGACGGGCGGACACTTAGTCACGTTTACCCGTTGGCCGGGGTTGAGCCTGTACATACTGACCACTGAGTCTCCTCTGGTCGCTGCGTCTGGTCAGGTAGCTGTGTCGGGTCAGGTGTTTGCTGCAGCGTCCAGGTCTGGTCCTGAGTCTGCCCCCTGCTCGTGTCGTCTCCTGTCTCACCAGACTCTCCTCTTGCACCACCACCTTGGTCACCCCTCCCTACCTCGTCTCCGAGGCATGGCCTCACGTGTCCTGGTCTCCGGTACCTCCCTCCCCTTCCTCAGGGGCCTGCCCCTACCTGTGTTCCCTGCGTCGAGGGGCGGCAGCGTGCTGCCCCTCACTCCTCCCAGTTTCCTTCGACAGAGGCCCCGCTGCAGACACTTCACATGGACGTGTGGGGCCCAGCCCGCGTCCGTGGACAGGGTCACGAGCGCTACTTCCTGCTGGTGGTTGACGACTACTTGCGTTACACCACAGTCTTACCCTTGCGCAGCAAGGGTGATGTCACTGAGGTGTTGATCGACTGGATCCGCGCAGCTCGTCTCCAGCTCAGGAAGAGTTTCGGCTCGTACTTACCTGTTCTGCGTCTGCACTCCGACCGCGGCGGAGAGTTCTCCTCTCGCCTTCTGCAAGCCTACTGTTGTGCACGAGGCATCCGCGAGACCTTCACGCTTCCGGACTCTCCACAGCAAAATGGGATTGTGGAGCGCCGCATTGGCATGGTCATGGACGTCGCCCGTACGTATATGGTGCATGTGGCTGCACCCCATTTTCTATGGCCGTTTGCGGTTCGGTACGCGGCGCATCACATCAACCTTCAGCCCAGGTTCTCCATGCCGGAGACCTCCCCAACTTTGCTGTGGACGGGGAAGGTTGGCGATGCGTCTGCGTTCCGTGTCTGGGGATCTCGGGCGTTTGTCCGCGACTTGTCTGCAGACAAGCTGTCCCCTCGTGCTGCTCCCTACGTCTTCCTTGGCTTCCCCCCTGACGCGCCAGGGTGGCAGTTCTACCACCCAACGTCTCGCCGTGTTCTGTCCTCCCAGGACGTCACGTTTGACGAGTCGGTTCCCTACTACCGTCTGTTCCCCTACCGCACAACGTCCCTCCCCCCGCCACCGCTCTTCCTTATGCCAGGTCCCCCCCCGGTAGACCCCCTTGCCCCTCAGGGTCCTGCCCCCTCAAGTGTGTCCAAGGTAGACGTAGTCGAGCCTGTTGAGGTAGGTGATGACTATGGTGCTGCTCGGGGTGCTGAGCCTGGGGGTGCTGACTCAGGGGGTGCTGAGCCTGGGGGTGCTACGCCTGGAGTTGCTTAGCCTGGGGGTGCTATGACTGGGGGTGCTGAGCCTGGGGGTGCTACGAGTGGGGATGCTACGACTGGGGGTGCTGAGCTTGGGGGTACTACGCCTGGAGGTGCTGAGCCTGGGGGTGCGGAGCCTGAGGGTGCTGGGCCTACTCGTGTGGCGTCTGGCGGTGCTGGGCCTGGAGGTTCTCAGGGTGCTTCGTCTCGCCGGGAGCTCCTCTCTCCACAGGAGGTGCGTGAGTGGTTTGCCCGACGCTGGAGGCGTGCTGCTCGAGCTGGAGGTTCTCCCGCTGCTGAGGGTGCAGGTACCACAGGTCCCGGAGGTGCTCGTACTGGGAGTAATGGAGCTGATGGGCCTGCGGGTACTGCTGGAGCTGGAGCTACTGCGCCTTCTCGTGGTCCGGCTGGAGCTGGAGCTGCTGACGGTGTTGGCGCTGAGGGTACTGCTGGCGTTACTGGAGATGGTCCTGCTACGGGTGCTGCTGGTACTGCTGGTGGTCCTTGAGCTACCGGAGCTGCTGGGGGTACTGGAGCTGGAGGTGCTGCTGGCGCTGGTGCTACCACTGGGGGTACTGGTGCTGTCCCTGCTGTTTCTAGAGTCGCTGCGCGGCCTCAGATGTACTTCGTTCCGCTCCTTGAGCAGGTTCTTGGTCTCCCTCCTTCTACTGGTCCTCCTCCTCCCTTAGAGTGTCCACAGCCGGTCCCGTCGCAGTTACAGTTACAGCCGGCCTCCCCACTGCCTGCTCCTTCTCCCTACAGTGGCCCTACTGGAGGTCTTGCTGAGCGTCGTGAGCCTGCGTCCCGTCCTGCGTCGCCTATTCGTGCTGCTCGCGCTAGTGGTCGTGGTTCGCGTCATCGTCCTCCCCCTGTCCCCGGCATGCAACGGATGTCTCTCCGTCCATCCACTGCTTCTCTTCGTGCCCCTTTGCCTTCGCCTCCTGAGTCCTCTCTTCCTTCTCTTGCTGACCCGGAGTCGGACTCTCTTCGTGCTGCCAGTCCTACTGTCACGCGTCTCCTTGCTACTGTTGTCACTGACCCTTCCTTTGAGTCCGCTGCTACGTCTGCCTTGGTCACTGAGCTCGTTGACTTTGCTGCTCGGTGTCGTCTAGACTACGCTGCTAGTCTTGTTGCTGAGTCTGAGTCTGTCTGTCCTCCGTCCGTCGGGGGTGAGTGTGCCCTTGGCACGGACGTCCTTGAGGACTGGCAGGAGGAGTTCCAGTGTTTCGCTGCTGCTTCACCTCATCTCGTGTCCGTGCTGCTTACCCCTGAGGGAGACCCGGATGCACTTGACATCCCGACTCCGAGCTCTTACGTGGCGGCGATAGAGGGTCCCTACTCCTCTCAGTGGCAGGCAGCCATGGACGCAAAGATGGCTTCATGGAAGTCCACAGGCACCTACGTTGACGAGGTTCCCCCGCCTGGGGCGAACATCGTCAGTGGCATGTGGATTTTCAGGGTGAAGAGGCCGCCGGGTTCTCCGCCTGTCTTCAAGGCGCGTTACGTGGCTCGTGGCTTCAGTCAGCGGCAGGGAGTTGACTACTTTCAGACCTTCTCTCCCACCATGAAGATGACCACTTTTTGGGTACTATGAAAGAAACTAGAACGAGAATGAATGAACTATGAATGAAGTGAGTACATATAGGAAACCCTAATTGGGTTGTACCCCCTATGGGATACCCCACTATAGCCTACACAAATATATAAGCTGTAATGTTCTGACAGACGGAGCAGGCAATGGGGAGGCCGGCTGTAATTTTAACTGTGACGGGACAAGCTGTGGACACTCTAAGGGAAGAGGAGGACCAGTAGAAGGCGGGAGACCAAGAACCTGCTGAAGGAGCGGAACGAAGTACGGCCGAGGCCGCGCGGCGACTTCAGACACAGCAGGGACAGCACCAGTACCCCCAGCGGCAGCACCAGCACCAGCAGCACCTCCAACTCCAGTACCTCCAGCAGCACCAGTCGCACCCCCAGCAGGACCGACAGCAACAGCCTCCGCGCCAACACCCGCAGCAGCTCCAGCTCCAGAAATACCCGCAGGCCCAGCAGCTCCAGTACTCCCAGTACAAGCACCTCCGGGACCCGCGGCACTAGCACCCTCAGCAGCAGCAGAACCTCCAGTACCCGTAGCACCTCCAGCTCCAGCAGCGCGCCTCCAGCGCCGGGCAAACCAATCACGCAGCTCCTGTGGAGAGAGTGGCTCCCGGCGAGACGAAGCACCTGGAGAACCGCCACGCACAGCACCGCCAGACGCCACACGAGCAGGCCCAGCTCCCTGAGAGTCAGCACCCCCAGGTGTAGCAACCCAAGGCTCAGCACCCCCATGCTCAGCACTCCTAGGTTCAGCACCCCCAGGCTCAGCACCCCCAGGCGTAGCACCCCCAGGCTCAGCACCCCCTGGCTCAGAACTCCCAGGCTCAGCACCCCAAGGCTCAGCACCCCCAGGCTCAGCACCCCCAGGCTCAGCACCCCTAGGCTCAGAACCCCCAAGCTCAGCACCCCCAGAGTCAGCACCCCCAGGCTCAGCACCCTCAGCAGCACCAGAGTCACCAGCGACCTCGACAGGCTCAACATCGTCTACGTGGGACACACTTGAAGGGGCAGGGCCCTGAGGGGGGAGGGGGTCTACCGGAGGGGGACCTGGCACAAAGAAGAGCGGTGGCGGGGGGAGGGACGGAGTGCGGTAGGGGAAGAGACGGTAGTAGGGGACCGACTCGTCGAACGTGACAACCTGGGAGGACAGAACACGGCGAGAGGTCGGGTGGTAGAACTGCCACCCTGGCGCATCAACGGGGAAACCTAGGAAGACGCAGGGAGCAGCACGAGGGGACAGCTTGTCTGCAGACAAGTCGCGGACAAACGCCCGAGATCCCCAGACACGGAACGCAGACGCATCGCCAACCTTCCCCGTCCACAACAAAGCTGGGGAGGTCTCCGGCACGGAGACCCTGGGCTGAAGGTTGATCTAATGCGCCGCGTACCGGACCGCAAAGGGCCACAGAAAATGGGGGGCAGCCGCATGCATCATGGACGTACGGGCGACGTCCATGACCATGCCAATGCAGCGCTCAGCAATCCCATTTTGCTGTGGAGAGTCCTGAAGTGTGAAGGTCTGGCGGATGCCTCGTGCACGACAGTAGGCTCGCAGAAGGCCAGAGGAGAACTCTCCATCTCTGTCAGAGTGCAGACGCAGAACAGGAAAGTCCGAGCCGAAGCTCTGCCTGAGCTGGAGACGAGTTGTGCGGATCCACTCGATCAACATCTCAGTGACATCA